CAGCGCATTGTGCTGCGAAAGGCAGCGGTGTCTTGGAAGAAGTAAAAAAGAAGCCTGAGAGAGGGTGTTAGAAAAATAAACTCTATTCATACGGGTGCAGAAGGTGAAGTGTGTGTGACTGAGTTGCTGACGCCCGGCGGAATGGAGATTTTGTGGGGTGGGGGGAAGTTTCCCTTCAGGCTGCCATTGCTGTGAGCAGAGTCTGCCTCTTAAGTATGGAATGGCCAGGAAGTGACCAATTAACTGGGTCTTTCTGCAGCTGCTTTTATTTTAGTTTGCAAAGGGCTGGCAGTTAATCTTGCCACTTCTCCCATTTCAGCTTTCCTGCTTGACATCACTAAAAACGAGAAGGTGGCTGTGCCAGAGCCCTGAGCTTCCAAGTTTCTTGGTCTGTGCATGGCAAATGTTTGTCCTTTGTAACTATAAGAAACACCATGGGTCATGGTCAGTGATACAAGTAGGTGGTTTACATCTAAGAACTGCAAAACCTCTGGAGCGTGAATTTTGTTGGAAAGCACTTGGACAGTGATCAACTCAAGTTTGGTTCTGCCTAGATGAAAGTGCTTTTTGAGTGTTTTGGTAGTCAGAAAGCATGTGTGAAGCTGGCAAGGGCCGTGCACTGCCTTCCTAAATAATTTAGAGTCAATTGTACCACAAAACAAATAAGTGGAAGAGCAGAACTCCGAGTTCTGCAAATAACATTTGTGAGCTGTTGGAAAAATAGCAGCAAACCTATTATTTTGTTAATTAACTTTAGTAGATGCAAATTAAGGGCTAGGATAGGACAGTGATAGAACTTAAAGTATTAGCAGGTCAAACTCCTCCAACTCTTAGTGCTGGAACAATAACATACAGATATGAAAAGTTGTAGAAATGAGCACTGGTAAAAATAATACTGCTTTCTTCAAAAAGACTGCAGTTACTGAACCAAGGCTGCCTTGATCCTGAGAGAGAACATTTTTTTTTTCCCCCCCGTTGAAGCTTTTGGTGTTCTGGCTTGTATTTGCAATTCAGTATCAAAATAGGGATGGACGTTGCTGATTCTGCACATACTACCCTTAATCCTGTAAATCCTGCATTGAACTGGGTGATGTATGCTTGCCTGAACGTATAACTTATTCTGGCTTGAAGTCCCTCAAAGTGATTTTCTTTTCAGGTAGCTCATCCTAGCATTTAAAGTAAAATAGAGCTATTTTTAAAGCACAGTCACAGGAGATTACATTAACTTGAGGTTGATTGTAGAAAGTTCCTAAATATAGAGTTAGAAATTCTACCAATACTATGAAAACTAGGTGGGCTCTTCCCCACTGTTCAAAAACGGTCTTCCAGAGCAGAGCCAAGTCTTCAGGGCAGGTGGGAGTAAAGGAACCAACAGAGGAAGGAAATGTGCTTTCTGTCTCGGTCAGAGAGAATGAATCTGTGAGGATTGTTGAATTCCACTCTTGGTGTTCAGATCTTCCTTTTCCATATGAAAAATGACCGAACTGTTGTATTCATCTTTCTTTAAGGTGGACAGCCCAGAAATGTGCAGCCTTTTAGTGATGAAGATGCTTCGATTGAAACTATGAGCCACTGCAGTGGCTTCAGTGATCCTGCTAGCTTCACTGAGGATGGTATATTCTTTTCTTTATATCTATTAATCTTTTTAAAAACATAAGGCCTGAGTTGACTTAGGAGTTTAAGTACTGGACTGCAAGTAGTGTTAGCAAAATAATCATAATCTGTTAAACACTATATGATTGCTAGTCTAGTGGCTATCATTTTGTTTGGTAAGAATACACTCCACGCTTCATTAACCTCTCATGAAACTATGAGCTAGATTTGTGCTTTGTCTCTGTCTCTACAGCCTGGACTGCTCTAATGTCATTTTTTGGGGGAGGAGAGGACCTGAAACCCTGCTACAGGGAGGATAAGACAGGGAGCCTATGAATACTTGCTACTATTAACTGAGCTGCTGTTGCAGAGGCATCTGGTGATGCCAGATAAGACGAGCTGTTTTGACAGAACTCACTGTATCAACAGTGAACACCTCGCTGTGCTCCAGGGGTAGATGTAGGGGACTGGATGAGAATGTGTTGCTGACGGGATTGGCTTGTGGGCATCAGTTGTAGGAAATTTATGTAAGCCCCGATTGGCTGCCACATCCATTCTTGGCACAGAAGAGGGTATGGAAACAGGAAGAAAGGGGAAGAAGAGGGTATGGAAACAGGACTGATGTGTCAATAGGCTGATTTTAATAAGAGTATTTTAAGTGGCAGTTGGATGTAGTGGGCTTGACACTATTCTACTTCTCTAATACTGAACAATTCTGTGGCTATTGTCCATGTTTAATTGCTTTCTTAATTGTATTAAAAACATTTAGCATTGGATAATACTGCATGTGCTAATAAAACGTGTATCGGTAGGACTAAATTATTTCCTTTGGATTAGGGCCCGAAGTTGATGAAGAAGCCACTCAAGAAGATTTAGAATACAAATTGAAGGGATTTATTGATCTTACATTGGACAAGAGGTATAGTATGCTTTGAAGAAACACATTCATGCATTGTTTTCTGGCTTCCTCTGCTATAATAAGGAAACGTGCACCAAAGTGGGGGGGTTTTTTATATGCTTACTGAAATGACAGTTATTTTTGGGTGAGGAGGACTTGCTTTTCTTCTGGATCTAAGAAGATCTTTGTCCCGCTGCAAGATTTTTGGATAAGTGAGTGTCAGACTTCTCTTTCTTAATAGCTTGAAGCTTAAGAGCTTGACTTCTAGGCTGCTGTATAGTTGTGAACCCTGTATCCAAGCTAAGTTTTTCTGTCCTCGCGTGAGGGAGGAAGCTCCTCATTGCATTTCATATGTCATGGTACTGCTGAGCATTACTGTTCTATTGTATGTAAGTTCAGACTTGTATAAACTACTATAAAAACAAAGGCTGAGCTTTAAGTGATGTGTGCTGACTTTAGGAGGTATTCTTTCTCTCTTGTAACAGTGCAAAGACGAGACAAGCAGCTCTTGAAAGTCTGAAAAGTGCTTTTTCTTCTAAAATACTGTATGAATTTGTCATGGAGAGGAGAATGACACTAGCTGATAGCATTGAACGCTGCATAAAGAAAGGTAATTAACATGCTTGCTACTAGAAAGCAATAATACACAGGAAATAGCTTATTGTTTAAAAGAAATTAAGACCGTGAGGCTTCTCCAGTACTTTATAGAGTAGTTAATTTAGTTATATTAACAACATTAATTTTTTTAATTTAGGTGTTAGATATTTTAACTGTCCTAGAAAATGACCTGAAATGATCTCCATATTGGTTTCTCAATTTCTGCCTGCATGTTTTCAGACTAATTATCTTTAAAGGAAGGAAGCAATGCACAAGACGATTACTCATCATAGCATGTTAATCTCTAGGTAAGAGCGATGAACAGTGTGCGGCCGCCGGGCTGGCCTGTCTTCTGTGTGTACAGATGGGGTCAGGAATTGAAAGTGAAGAGATTTTTAAGACCCTTGGTCCGGTTCTGAAGAAGATTGTCTGCGATGGAACAGCCAGTATCCAAGCCAGACAGGCTGTGAGTTCAAAATGTTTATTTGCCAGGCGGAGACAAAGGGCCATATTTAACCAGCTCACTCTTGTCTAATCCAGAACTAAAGGTTACCACACTACTGTAAACTCATAATGTTGACGTGTGCTCTGAATGATGCATAGCAGTTTTCACTGGCTGAAGAAGTTCTACCTAAAGGTTGAATGTCAGTCTCTTGTTCAACCTAGGAACTTCCTTCACGTGCTTTTGCATCTAGTGCTTTGTCAAGCATCTTAAATGATTACATTGCAGTTCTCAGGGCTGATGTTGAAGTGCTATAGGAAAGAAAAAGAAATTTTTCCCAGTGCCTGTGGTATCTTTCCTGTATTAATTTTAATTCCTTTAACAGCAGAGGAATGTTAGTTATACAAATATATATGTGATGAATTACATATAGCAGATACAGAACTACATACTCGATGCATATATATTTTGTTTGGAGCGGCTTTGTGAGGTATATTAAATAATACTACACGAAAAGTGAAGGCTTGTGAGTAGTGTGTGTTGTAAAATCATCCTTAGAGAGGAAGGGAGAACTTACTGTTACAAAGTAGCTGAATTAAAGTGTTGAAGTCTTCTGCTCTGCTCAGGTCTGGTTCTCAAGCGCCCATTATTCCAGAGATCAAAATTTGAAGGTTTTGTCAACAGTAACATTAATGTCAAATACTGACACTTTTTTTCTTTTTCATCTAGTGTGCAACCTGCTTAGGCATTTGCTGTTTCATTGTCACTGATGACATTACGGTGAGGATAAATAATACTTCTTCCTAGTGTTAATTCATTTAAAAAGATAATGTGACTCTTAAGCCACTTTCACGATATTTTTGTTTTTTTCTACTCAGGAGCTGTATTCTACTATGGAATGCCTGGAAAACATCTTCACAAAGGCCTATCAGCGAGATAGAGACACTAATGGTGTATCAAGTACCCATAATACTGTGCTTCACATCAGTGCTCTCTTAGCGTGGACACTCTTGCTGACTATTTGTCCAATGAATGAAGTGAAGAAGAAAATTGAAATGTGAGTATTTGCCAAGGGAAAGAAAACTCATAATGACTGTTTTCATAACGCAGTGAAACGATGTCAGCAGAATTTACACCTTAATGAATTGTGACTTACTCCTTAGGCACTTGCATAAACTCCCAAGCCTCCTGTCTTGTGATGATCTCAACATGAGAATAGCTGCTGGAGAAACACTAGCCCTTCTGTTCGAACTGGCACGCGAAACGGATGCTGTAAGTAGATGTCAGCAGCTAAATTTTCTTGCATTGAGATGATAAGACAAATGATTTAACTTGTGTTGCATAGTGCCCCAGATCTCGACAAGTGGCAGGTGATACTTCACTGGTTATATTCTTTGCCCCAGCTGAGTGGATATAGCAATGACTCACGACAACTTAGTTACCATTTTTACACTTATTTTTATATTGCAAAACAGGACCAGTGTAACAAATCACATCCAACAGTACTGAAGAGCAACTAGAAAAGTAGTGTGCAAGCTTTAAAATCGCAATCCAGCACTGACTTCTAAAAAAATATAAAATCTCTGGAGCCGTTCCAGGATAAAACAGTATTGTTTATGTCCTCTAGAAAGCATGCTGACTTCTATTACTGTTTCTTCAGTAGCCTTCAGAAGAACAGCTAGTATTGCATGATGGTTTTGCAGCATTTGTGACTATTTTAGTCAGTCAGAGACTAGTCACTCAGCTTAAGGGGACAGATTTTGAAAGTATTTGCGCAAGTTTTGCACAGGTACCAGTATTGCTATATTTGGTGAGATTTCTTGGGGTTTGCTTTTCAGTTGGATTAGGTGCAAGCTTCCTGATATTGCCTCATACCCACAGCTAAACTTGCCTTTACATTCTTCAGTATTCCTTATTAATTTCTGAACTGTTTTCTTGACAGCACTGAAGGAAACAGTCTTCACTTACCCATGGCACAGTTTGGGAGAGTTGCCTGGCTGGCTCCTAGCTCGATCAAGGCTGCTGTGCTTTGCCAGAATACTGTCCAAAGAGAAAGGAAAACTGCAGTTGAGTCAGGATACACAACACGCTTAACACTGCATAATCTGAAACGATATGCTGGGAGTTGTGTATAATTGCAGATGGTAGAGATTTGAGTCTCTTGACTGTGGAAGTGAACTTTGAAAGAAAAAAAAAAACCAGACTGGAACTTGATCCTTTGTTTGGTCAAGCTGACTGCAAGTCACTAAAATCTTAAAATGCTGTAACAAGTGAGACTATATTCACAACTAAACTTCTGTTCCAGTGAGGAAATGCCCCTTTAATAATTATGAATTGTTCTCTTTGGATCCTTCACAATCAGCACATATTTAAAATACTTACTGTATGCTGTCTTTGATCAGTTTCTTTCACAGAGTATGCATTAAGCTCAGCCTAGTCAATTGACATGACAAAACATTCAGATTAAAAAAAAACACCAAAAAACTCCAACTTGTTTTTACATAAGTTCACATATGTTCCTGTTAATCTAAGTAAACTACTGCTGAGTTAGTAAACAGAGAGGAGAAAGTATTTCCTGCTAAACAGTTATGCATTAATATTTACTTGGAGTGTTTTGTTAGTGTTTTTTTTTTTTAAAAAAAAATGGTTTCTAATTTTCTGCCTCATATGAGACTTACGATTAAATATTCTATACTGTCAGTCTAATGGTGTCTCAGATCTGCCTCTAGCAGCATAAATTCTGTGCTCATAACCTGAAAGTGCCCTCCCCTTGTCAGCAGGAGTGAGTGCAAGGT